AAAAAGCCAATATGAGTCTTTGGGATTACAGAAGACAGTAATACTTTGCACGGCTGATACAGCACCATAGCCTATGTGTCAATCCATTACTTCAGAGTTTGTCACCAATTGTTTAATAACTTACTTTGCTAATTGCCACCTTTACCTTCTTTTCCATCTTTCACTTTTATTTGATCTTGATTCCCGTAAGGAAGATGGTGATGATTGCAACATAACCTTTCAGAAAGAGGCAGCAAGGATGCTCAGAAGAAAAAATTGCTTCAGCTTCGTTGCTGAAACAGTGAAAATCTTTCAGACCCGTTGTTCATTCCTAAAAGCCAACATTTCTTCCATTTTCCCATTCTGCTTCAAAATCCTCTGTTCTATACATGGTTTCCCTACACACACTGTCCTGGTTATGTCAATATTCCATGTCATGACATCTTGCCACAGGCTGTTGTGTGCAGAGGCACAGTGCACTGCAGAGCAGTGCTTCTTGATTTTTTAGCAGCCTCGTGTAAGTTCTGACTCTCCATGAAGAAGCTACACTGAGATGTACTACGTTCCCAAGGAGCCTCCACATGATCCCCAATTCTAGGTGATGGGGATGAGACACTTCCAGATTTCAGCAGTGCAGTGAGCAGCACAGCTGTAGCCTTCCTCTCTCTCCCGTTTGAGTCATTAATAGTAACTATCTTTCTTATTATTATCTTACATTCTTCTACCATCTGTAGTAAATTTGTTCTCTCTCCTTATCTTGACTGTGTTGTTCTCCTTTTCTTTTCCCCCAAAGGGGAGAAAGATCCCCTTGCCCAGTCACACTTGAAATCACAACACACACAGACAGCTTATGTTTCTTACAGCAGCTGTACTCTGTCCCTGCCCCAGCATTATATTGATTCATAAGGGAAAATTTCTTTGCTACCAAGGAATTGCCAACCATCTCACCTATAATGGAAGCTATTCTTCATGGCGTGTGGCTATTCTGCCATGAAGGGCTTCTGAAAACAAAACTCTGCACAAAGGGGAAGGATCTTTATAACAACTTCCACTGATTTTGTCAAAATAAATCTACACATACAGCATTTCATAGTGTTTGGTATTTGCAAGCATTTGGAACTGTTGAGTGACCACAACTTTAGAAATGTTATTTTATTCAGTATAAATGCTGCTGGAGCATTAGTATCACAGTATTGTGAAACTGTACACATTTTTGTCCTATATTGCATTATTTTACTGCCTAAGACAGCTCAAAATTTGCAAACATAAGAATTTCATCTTTTGCAAAAACAGAAAAAGGAGTTGATCCTTTATCTTTATTGAACTTTGTGCTCAATAATAAATCTAAATACGAGAATTGCTTACCATATAAACCTGTAGTTGACAGCACGGAAGTAAAACAACAATAAAACAAATTTATTTTAAAAATCTCATAGCATTTTGAGTCCTGTTCCATAATTTAAAATATCCATAACTAACAATATCGACTACAAGGCTCCAGGTTGGTGCAACATAGAAAGATTGTCCTTTAGGAGGAGATGGTCTAAACTGATACCTGTCTACTCCTGCACAGGATAACCTTTAACACTTAGGTAGCTTTTGCACTGGAGCTTCTACTGTAACAACAAAATGTGAAGTCCCACACATGGCAAGAGGAAGAAAGACCAGGCCCAGAATACAAATAGCAGTTCTTGAACAGGAGATACATAAGAATCCTTCTGGGAGAGAGCACACGTTCTTGTTACAGTAAGCCTGGTCAGCAAGAAAATGTACATCTTGGTTTGTATTTAAAAGCATCACTAATAACCATAATTAAGGAAGAAACTGAAGAAATGAAAGTTAAATGCCTGAGAGCTACAGATGGGATTTTTGCAAAGAAGCAACTGTTATCAAAGCAAAAGTAGAAGCTTTTCAAAATTTGGAAAAAATTTGGCTGTAAAGGGACAAACAAAATTAAAAAAAATAACCAAACCAAAACAAATAGCAAACAAAACAAAGCCAAAACTGACTCCATTCCATAACAGTGGAAATCCCTCCTCCCCCTAAATATGACACTTTTTAAACAAGTTTTTAGACAAATAGTTTTGTGCCTGTGAAATCGTGTTGTCAAATCCTAGGCAGGGTCTCATGGTTGTTGAAGTTCTGCCTTTTGGTTTCTACACTACCAAAGCAGGTATTTTAGTTAATACTACACTTAATAGACTACAACTTTACCACGTAACTGTAAACAATAAAAATTTTGCTTCGGTCCTATCAGAATGCATTTCATGTCGCTGCTCTGAAAAAAATGCCTCCTATTTATTTCCATGGAAACTACAATTGGTACAGAGAGCAGCATAGTACTATTTGATTGAGCTAATTCTCAGCTACAAAACACTATTTTTCAACCTAATCACCAGCAATGAACAAGAGCTACACTCATAAAAATCTGCACCAGCAGAGGTGACACACCGTTTTACAGAATGCTATGACAGGAAAATGCTGCCTGTGGAGTACATCTTTCACCAGTCTGAAAAGATGGAAATCACAAGGCACTAAATCTGGACTATTAGGTGGGTGTGGTAGGAAAGTCCAAACAAGAGAGTCAATGTGCTCCATAGTCTTCAAACTGGTACGGAGCCTGACATTATTATATTGCAAGAGAAAGTTTTAATCCATTTCTGGCCTGATTGCAAGTTTGAGCCTTCATCTTAGTCAGCATTGTGATGAAGTGGTCAGAAGTGGTTTGTCCAGGTTCTGGGAAATCCTAAAGGATCACCACTTTTTTGTCCCCAGTGACATTACATGTTACTTTACCCTCTGAGGACTGCATCTCGAATGCTCCTTTCCATGGAGAATTCACATGTCACCACTCCATGGACTACCGTTTTGACTCCAGCTTGTAGTGGTGACACCACATCTTGTCACCAGTAATGATGCATTCCAGGAAACTGTCACGTTTAGTCTGTAACTGGTTCAATAGGTCCTGACAAATTTGCATATGGTGTTCTTTTTTTCCCCATGAGAGCAAACTTTGCAATATCCCAGTGTTGCCACCATCATTTCTAATGCACTGAAGCCAATATTCAGCTCCATATACAGTTTCCTGGTCATAATCCACCTATTTGCATGGATTAGCTGATTGAGACACACTTCATTTCATGGCGTGACAGTTGTGCATTGCCATCTGAAACATGGCTTGTCTGTCATGTCCTTGATGCCACTGCTGAAACACATCACCCACTGCTTTATTGTACTAACGTCCACAGTTTGGTTTACATAAATATTCAGCAAGTGTCAGTGAATGAGTGTAAACAACTGCAATTTTTTCCACATGAAGGAACTAAGTTCCAATTCTTATCTTCATATGCACTTCTCTATCAGTCATAATTTTGTTAAACTGCTCCTCTGTTGTCATCTGTTGCATTGCAATGAAATATAATGGAATCTTTGTGGGAAGGTTTGACCTCTACTGCCATACCATGAACATCCACATCTGATGTCGTGGACCAATATAATAAGATAGGAGACATTACTTTTGGAACAGCCCATGTAGAAGCTCACAAAGCCTTGAAAATGATGCTGCAGAGCAAATGGCTTCACAAAAACATGATCCAAGGATACTGGACACGTGGATCCATGTGCTCCACCACATGTCAGTCATTCGTAACCACTCTGCATGTAGTGATGCATGTGCATTACTTCTTTAATGCTGTGTCCCCCATTGTTCATTCTAAAATGGAATATCCGAGGAAAACTTAACAACTACTAATCCTCAGTGTGGAATGGGCACTAAAACTTTTCAGTGTCTCCACATCCTTTTGGCCCATACAGATGTAAATGGACAGCACAGCGTGCGTATTATTGAAAATGGGGAGAAGTTTGTGATAAATAAGTAAACAAAAGTGTGGGTCAGGATTGTTTTTTGGCAAGAAGAAAGCAGTAAGAAAGCTGCAGTACTCATAAGGCATATAAATACTCCTAAATAAGAAGTAATCTATGAACAAACTATTTTGTGTGCATTGAAATAGGCAGGGCCAGGTTGTTGGAGCACAGTATGCTTCTAAAACAGTCTTCACTTTCAGACACAGTATTTTAGCTAGCCTGCTGCCAGTATGCAGAAATTACTACCTGTAGGTTTGCATCTATTCTAAAGGGAATAATCTCTCTGAGCAACAAAATATGCTACTTCTCACACCAAAGATGCAGGTCTTCGGTCTCACAAAATTCAAACCATCTATGTTTGGCTGAGAAAACTTGAGTCTAGACCAGGATAGAAAGAACAGCAAGATCAGAGGGAGGAAAATGTTAAGAGTAGTAGTCAGTTGCCTAGGTCAGCTGTCAGTCCTCATACAAAAGGTCAAAGGGAGGCAAGAAAAAGGGCTGATCTGGAACTTTGTGCAAATATAAACTAGACTTTTTTCTTTTTTTCTATGCCATGAATGTTTGGCTTGGCAACTTTGATTTCCTTTAGGTTTTTTTTTAGAACTATGTAAACAAAAATTGTTCAAGTCCATTCATTGCAGTCTTCCCATCATACATTCATGGATCAAATATATTAAAAAGAAGAATGTAAGTTATGTACTTATTTAGCAGCCTTCCCTACCCCTTTTCCACAATTCTAAACTGTCTTTTGATTCATTTTTTTCCACACGACTCATTTTTGTATTACTACCGTTCTCCTAGGCTATCTTTGAAAAACAGCTGAGAGCAGCCTGGTATATTCTAATGGCCAAAACCACAAATTCCACAAAGGGAGCATCTTGAGGTGCTTGCCTGTTGATATCACAAGCGCAACTGTGCAGAACTGTGCCAGAACTTCTTTGTAAAATACGTTTTGCCAGATTTACTTTGTATTGCTGGAGCAAGGTGAAGGGGAATCCTCTGCTATCAGTCAATCATTCGATTTGCCATGTGGAGAAGGACTTGGGGTCCTGGTGGACGAGAAGCTGGCCATGAGGCAGCAGTGTGCGCCTGCAGCCCGGAAGGCCAGCTGTGTTCTGGGCTGCATGAAAAAGGGGCGGCCAGCAGGGAGAGGGAGGTGATCGTCCCCCTCTGCTCGGCTCTTGTGAGGCCCCATCTGCAGCGCTGCGTCCAGGCCTGGGGCCCTCAGTACGAGAATATACAGTCACTGAGGGATCCTGCTGGACCTGGGGAAAGACTTTCTTGTCTTTTCTGTTTAGTTGCAAGCCTCATTCGCAAGTCTGGAGAAAACTGTAGAAGAAAGTAACCAATTTCAGACACCTTGTTTTACTAAGAAACAAAATGCTTTTTGTGTAAAATACTAAACTATTGAGGGTTTTCCCCTCTTTTGAGAACAAGCTGTATTTACATAAATATTATGCAGTAGGATAGTTAAAAAAAACCTCTGATGACCATGAGCTATTAAAACAACATAAATTCAGCCCAGAAACTAAAGAAAACTGAAGACTGCTCAATGAAGGACACTGTTCCAGATTGTCAGGCCAACATTGAAAACATGTTATACATTTAACTCATTTTGCTAAGAGAAGTAGTTAACTTTTCTAAAGTCTCTTTGAAGGACTTGATCAAATAAGCTCCCAGTTCATCATTTGTCTCCTGAACGGCTGCATCATAACTGCCAAAGAGCGGAGTTGAAGCTTTCACATCCTCCCGATTTGCTTGGAGTAAAATGAAGTTAAGCTCCTCTGCTATACTGTCATATTTTTGATGATCAAATCTGCAGAGACTGGCATCGTCAATTGGGTAGGTGATGTCAATAGGGTAGCAGTCCTTTGGAACTGGAAACTCCACAATTTTCAGCACTGGCAACTCGCAGAGAAATGTGAAAAGGTGTTTAAGTGCTTGGGATGACAATGGATTTCCAAGAAACTTAAACTCCTGCAGTTTCTGACAAGGGCTTAATGCTGCGATCAACATGTTGACATGAGTGTCTTGGATGTTACAGTCCTCCAAGACAAGACTCCTAAGCACTGGAGAGGAATGGCTAAGAAGCTTAAAGAGTGTTGATGGATAAAGCTCGGGAATATTGTGCCCGCTCAGGTCCAGTGTTTCCAAGTGATAAGAATGGATACTATTGGCTAAATAGATCATATCAGCATGGTTCAATGAGCAGTTAGAAACATCCAGCATCTTCAGTGGAGTTTTTAGTGGGCTGTAGAATTAAAAAGAAAAGGTTTTATGCCATGAAACTCTGAAAAACTATTTTCACAAAATTTCACACTCTGTATTATGAGTGCAGCCATCAGCCGCAATCATTTTTTTTTAATCTCCTTTTAGAATGAAGCATATGCCAACAATGGGAAACATAGTTTGCTTCCCAAGCCTTTCATAACTCCAAATGTTTTGGTTTAAAGGGAATTGATTTTGTAACAATCTATGTGTATATTTTGTAAGCATTTATACGTTGTCAGGTTCCATTCCTTGCTGAATTAATAACAGATCATTACTACAATAAAAACATCAGTGACTTCTTTCACAAAGATGTTATTATTCATGAGATTTCAACCATGTCTGTTAAGGAAGGATTCAGTCCAAGAGGAAAGCCAATCAGCATTCTAACATATCGGTATTTATTTCTAGTTTTGTTTTTACTTTAGGTATTTAAATGCCCAAGAGTTTTACATGTAATTTTGTTCTGAATTTTCAAACAGACGTGCTGATGAAGAAGATGGTTGGGAAAAGTGTACCTGGGATTGTATGCAAATGTTTTAGTTGAATTTAAAATAATATTAACTAATGAAAATAGAAAAAGAACCTCAACAAGAATTCTTCCACATGTCTCAACTGGAAAAAAGATTAGAAACTCATCATTTATGCATGTCGCTCCAAAAGTAATGCATCCTATTTATTTCCTTGGAAACTACAACAGTTACAAAGAGCACAATAGTGAGCAAATTCTCAGCTCCAAAAATTATTTTTTCAACATAGTCGCCACCATTTTCACCAGTAATGAGCAATAGTCTGCATGCTGTGACCATGAAAATCTGCATGGAAGTCTGGAAAATGGCTTGTTTTTCACATTGTTGTTGCCACTGCTGAAACGTACCACCACCTTCCTCTGCTAATAATCCACTGTTTGATCTCTTACCAACATTTAAGTGAAGTGTGTTCTTTGTACAGGAGGAATTTTAGACCAAGCTGATCTGTTTCAAAACTTTTGTCTGTCTTTTTTTCCGATGCTCTGGAAAGCACATTTTCAACTTGATTTTCAGTTCAGATATGAACACAGTTAACTGGCAGCTTGTTATATTTTTAGGAACGGCCATTCTTTTATGGAAATAATTATGAATATTCATAGGTTAGCTTAATTTGCAGTAGAGAAAGGCATCAGATCTCTCATACCCTGAGACTGGAAAATGCAATGAACAATTGAAATCAGTCTCTAATCAGTTTAATATCCCTCTAGCTGTCTAAAAATAAATTATCTGTGAAATCTGTATTTACTGTCCAATTTTTAGAGGAAAAACATTCACTAGAAATCCTGAAAAAAACACCGAGTATGACTTAGATCTTGTATCAAAGGCCAGCCCAAGCTGATTGAGATATAAGCTCGATTGTGACAAACCTAGGTGTATCTCTATCTTGTGTTAGGAGCCAAAAGCGTATTCAAGTCATACTTATCAGATGGGCTCTGGAAGACTAACAAGAGCAATCAGCTCTCCTGATTACATTTGACAATATATTGACTTCTCCCCAACAAATACTCTTTCCTAGTTTTCTGCTTCCCATACTCACACACCTGAGATGAGATATTCTCACTTCACATATTCTATAATGCTCTCAAATTACTGATGGCACTCGTTGCTGTTCTTTACATTTTGACTGACAGTAAGATAAGCAAGTTACCTGAGCAGCTTCCGTATTCTTCCTGTGAGTATAGAAAATGCCAGACTGAGCTCAGTCAGTTGTGTCATTTCACCCATCTTTTTTCCAATGGTAGTAAGCATCAGTTCATCTGTAGCTGTGAGCCTCTGCACATTAAATGTGCGAGCTGGCAAGGTCAAAGACATCAGTAGAGGGAAGTGAATACTGTTGAAGAGTATTTCCAAGTGTTCCATTTCCAAGCGAACATTGTGAACTACTTCCAGTTTGCGCAACAAAGAAGGATCAGTGAGCTTTATGATGTAGAAGAATTTTTGCAAAGCCAGGTTGTCAGCTCTAAATGCCACACAGCAGATCTTCAGTGGACAATAACGTTTCTGCAGCAGGGCCTGCACTACCAGCTCATAGTTGCGTTCTGTGACAAACAAGTCTATTAGCACATCAATACTGATTTCAAAGGCACGTGGCTTGCATTGCGTTTGTTGCAGGTGGACCAGCACTTCTAGACAAAGCTTTGAGAGCAGCTTAGTCCTGGCCCACCTCCCCATTGTCTTCTTACATTCACAAAGCTGAACTTCGACATCCTTTATACCTGTCAGGTCCACCACTTTCAACCTTTTCACACAGGGAGAAGGATGATTCAATACATAGTCTCTCAGCCCTGTTAGACAGCTCTCCAAGCACACTGAGCATCTTCTATGGCTCAGATCTTCCTGGTAGTCCACAGTAGTTCCCAGAAGTTTTCCTATATTAAAGTCAGCAAGTGGCCAGGTCTCAACCAAGTCATGAATCACTTCCGTTTGCTCCAGTAAATAGCTGGCTTTAAAAAGAAGAGGAAAAAGATTATGGGCAACACTGCCAAGATTCTTCCTCGCAAACTCAGCATCTGACACGAACGCCTCAGCACTAAGGAACTGGAGAGACTTCATTGTTTCTTTGAACTTCTTGCTGTTACGGAGGGTGAGTTCTGGGTTTAATTAAAGATCCTAGTTGCTTATCACTTTCTATTTTTAACTACAGCTGCTGTTTGCTACTGAGGGAAACCTTGTTGGGAATGTAGAACGAAGAATCACATGCTGATCCTCTGCTTTCTATTTTGGAGCTCTTACTCCAAGTCTGCAGCACATAGCTTCTAAGAGACCTTTTTTTTGAGAGCATTAATTCATTTAAACATTCATATTTATAACAAAACTAGCAACTAAGCATAAACAAGCCATAATGTTAAGATCAGAACAAGGTATATATATAAGAAAACTTCTGTATCTTTCCCATGCCATGCAAAACTTATACAACTTATTCCAACTTATACAAAGCGATCTTTATTCCACTTCCTTTCATGAAATATGCTACACTAAGATGAATAAAAACAAAGTGTTTCCTTTACATGCTGATTTCAAAAGAGGTGTCTCAGCACTGTACTCCTCCTCAAAACTATAGCTGTAAGGAAAAACTGTGGTGCTACAGTCACTGAGCTACAAAATGACCCTCTTTTTTGCCTGTCCTGTTCAGCAAGAAATAGTTAAATAGAGTGATTCCAGGCAAAAAGAAGAGAGATATTAGAAAAGCCCAGACTTTTTGTGACTAGAACACTTGCCTTGGTGAGAGACTTAGGCTTAAGTACAAGATAAGGTGAATAAGACAGAGCACAAATTGAAAACATTCTCAATTTCTAGGCAAGCATGCTGTTGCTGTTATTTTGAGCAGCAGATGTTTTCTTTCCTATTATATGAGAAATCATGGTTTCATTATGATACAGAAAGGGAAAATATTTGAAGTCTATTACCTGTTAATAATAGCAGAGATGAAGGTTCTTACTTTCAATCTGGCAGTTGATTGACATACAGTCATTTATGCTGCCTTTTTTGGGCAACCAGCGAAAAAGGGTATGAACATAGCTTGGAATTACTTCAAACATTATAGAATAGACTTTACATATATGCATATGCATAAATGCCTTTACACTTGATGTTTTGTGCTGTGTATTTTATTCCCTCCTCTTTTTTGTGTGTGTGATTTCAAAATCTACTGGCATATCTTGAAAACTGTGCAAAAAAAATCCTGTAAATAACTACATTTTTCCTCTGTCACTTAGAAAAATTCTTGAATACAATAAAATTAGAAAGTTTGCAAATGCTTGCAATCCCAACTCACATCCACCATCCCTTCTCTTCCCTAAGCCACTATCTTTACCTTCCACCCTCTATAATCTCTGCATCTTCCACATTTTCCATCTCTCTAATGCTACCTGTACAAACTAACTGAGATAATAAGCCTGGCTGGTGAAACTGTCACTGTCTTGAGCTGACTAGGTTCATATCCAGATTACTGACTTGAGCTCCATGCTATGCCTCACCTCGTTGTTTGAAATGGCCAGTATGAAAGATTAAACTTCAACTGAGAAATGCACTAGGAACTTACAGCACCAGTGAGATGATGTTAACAAATGTAACGCAGCAAAAAGTTTATATTCTGTTTCTTTATAAATAAATAAATAAATAAATAAATAAATCTCAAACTCTCTTCCCCAGCAGACAAGCAATAGTGTTTTCATATTTTAAAACCGCTACAGGTATTTTATGTTTTACGTCATATTGCACTGATACAGCAGTTTATCTTGGAACTTTCAGAGCATTAGAATAAACTAGGTAAGCAGATTTAAAATGTGTGTTTATGTAAATAACTGCCTGTTCAAATGTTGAAATACAGTAAAACTGTACTTACAAATGATGCAAGATGCAAGCTATTTGTGCCTTTTTCCTGTTAGACACGAACAGGGTACATATTTCTGTTTTCATCATTTACAAAACTGCACAAAATACAGAAACATGGATATCATCATATGCCACATGTGAACATAAGTTAAAAAAAGAGGAAAAACACTTAAAGTATGTAAGTTCTATCTATTTAACCTTGCACAGTTTTTAGTAATTTAGTAATGCTGCTCATATATTTGAAAGTATAGCTAATTTAATACAAACAAAAAACCTGCAAAAGTAAAATCAGAATAATACAAATTAATAAATATATTCCTTCCCTGAATATATCTTCCTGTAAATTTTGCATAAAATACACCTAGGAATTTTATTTTGTTATTCACAAAATATTCTATAATGGATTTACTTTAAAAAAAAAAAAAAAAAAAAAAAAGCCTGAATCCATGAACTGTGGCACTGGTTCTCCACAGGAAAGCAGACAGATTAGCTGGAGACACAGCATAGTTTGAAGAAAGGATTTGTTACCATGTGATTCAGAGATGTCAAAAATATTTTACTAAATATTTAATACTTCATTTAGTGGTAGAGGAAATCATGACAGATCACTTAGAAAAAATTGACTAAAGTAAGTTTTTTTTTCCAGCATTCAAGATCTTTTAGTGCTGTCTTAATGCTTGTATGGCAATAAATATACATTCAATTAACAGAATAAAATGTTTTTTGCAGTTATTTCAGAAAGACTGATCAGAGCACTATAAAAAACATGGATTTTGATTGGCTTTTAATTCAAAAACAGTGAATTCAAAATGTATTTCATGATAAAATAGCTGGTTTTCAGATTTACTTCTGGCAAGTTACAAGAGAGAAATTCAGAATTGTCATCTTATGAAGAAGTAAATTCTCCAACACAGAGGATCAAACACAGAACAGGGAGATACTTGTGAAGGTTTTTTACTTACTATGCCCTGTGCGTGTGTGTAGGATAAAATAGTTCTTCAGATCAGCTGAACATGTAAACAGACAGCAAAAGCACTGAAGATGATTTTTTCTGGATGAGCCATCTGTGGGAAAAACTGCACCCATTGACATTCCCTGATGTTTGTTGAACATTTATGGAGACCAAACAGTGGATGTGAGCACAGTGAGGTGAGTGGTGCTTTTCAACAATGGCGACAGTGATCATGGCTCCCCTCTGCATCTGTGGTGCAGATTTTTATGAGTGGTGCATGCAGGCTCCTCCTCACTCATCTGATTCCCCTCGAAGACATCCATGTGACAAGCAGACCTGGTCTCAACCCTTCATCTTCCAATATAAGAAGTGGAAGGAGATCCCTTTCTTCTTCAAGTCCCTGACTCCTCTTTGATATCTTTGCTAGCCTTGACCACGTGAAAGATTTTACCTTTTTTTCCCAGTGTTTTTTATAATACTGTGACAGAGCGGTAGGGGAGGCAGAAAGATTCAAGTTATATGGAATGAAGCTCTAAAGGACTAGAAAATGCCACAGTTCTTTGCCTCAACAACCTTCATCTGAACCCATTGCAAGATATGACATGGTATAAGTGTCAGTTACAAGAATGTATTCCCTTACTACTTAATAAGTGTATATTAAAAACAGTATTTATAAATTTTTGTTTTCTTAAAAGATATCTTGATTAAAGGAGGGAAAAGCAAAGAAGTGGAGTAGTGAATCAGTTGTTATGCTTATAAAAGTGTGGAGGACCTGGATAATTATAGACCAGACAGCCTCACCTCCATCCCTGGAAAGATGATGGAACAACTTCTCCTTGGCACTGTCTTTAGGTGTGTCAAGGACAAGCGGGCCATTAGGGACAGTCGACATGGCTTCACGAAGGGGAAATCATGCTTGGCCAACCTGATAGCATTTTAAGCAGACATAACCAGGTGGATAGATGATGGCAAAGCAGTGGGTGTGGTCTATCTTGATTCTAGTAAAGCATCTGGCAGCATCCCAGAGCATCCTCACAGATGAACTGAGGAAGTGTGGTCTGGACGATTGGGTAGTGAGGTAGACTGTGAATTGTTGGAAGGAAAAAAGCCAGAGAGCTGTGGTCAATGAGACAGAGTCCAGTTGGCAGCCTGTGTCTGGTTGAGTTCCTCAAGCGTCAGTACTGGGATAAGTACAATTAAATATATTCATCAACAACTTGGATGGAGGAAGAGAGTGCACAGTCGGTAAGTTTGCTGATGCCACAAAACTGGGAGGAGTGGCAGATAAACCAGAAGGCTGTACTGCCAACCATTGAGAACTAGACAGGAAATAGCTTTTCCTGTACGAAAAAGCTATAGTAGTATAGGAAGTCATGTCAGAAGAAGTAAGGTTTACATATGAACAGCTGATTAAAAGAGAGATAAAAAAATGAACAATAAACGGTCAGTCCCTGCACTACAGAAAGGACACCAACACGTTGTCCGCCTATTCCAGAGAGTGCAGTTAGGTTTGTGGATTATACCAGTTTTGTTGTTGCCATTGCTGTTGCAATAGTGACAGGGGAAGTTTGCAAAGAACTACAAAGGGAACTTCTAAGTGTAAACGAACGGGAAATCAAATGGTGGATGAAATTCATTCCGGTTATTTGTAATAAATGTATTGACAGAGGGAAGAAAAAAGCTAATCATACAAAGTTACCTCTCAAGAGTAAATTATTAGGCTTATGAGTATTCCATGAAAACTTTATCTCCACTGCAGTCAAGAAAGTAAAGCTGTTGTTATCAGGAGGCATACTGTTGTTATCAGGAGGGAACATTGCTACGTTCGGATCCTCTGATCAATCCTGAGATTGTTTGCATCTGTGCAATCATAATTACTCCATCTCCACCAAAGATCAAAAATGATGTACTGGAACAGAAGGAACTGTGAAGAAGGCAAAAAAGGTGACTGGCGGTATTAGAATGGCTGCAGTAGAAGAAATGACCAAGAAAGTTTGTAATTTCTTGCTGCACAGAAAGCAAACAATTGAAAGAGGCACAGGAAAGAGGTTTCTGAAAGCACAAAGAGCATAAAGAAAAGAGAAGTGACAGTGAACAGGCAATCCCTTGTTAATAGTAAAAACTGGGGGCATCAAAGAACATCAGCAGGGCTGAAGTTTGAAACAGGACAGAGGGGACTTCTCCATGAAAGGCCTAAGTGAGCAGCGGGCCTCCTTGTGGCTGGATATTGTGAATGTCAGACGTTTATTTACCTGTGCTCTGGGCCAAAGAAAAACCCTTTGTTCTGTCTAGCACAGCTCTTGATTCCCTGGAGCCTTGGTGCATACTGCTTCTCTAATGCTATTTCTACCAGAGAATATTCTCATGCTTTTTCAGTCTTATGAATATAGAGGCTGAAAGTGTGCAGCTAAAAAGTTTGTGTTGCAGAGTGAGGAGGAAAAGCTGAACTGCTGAACAGAGAGATGACCAGAAGTGTAAGAACACCGAGCCCGGCAAACTCAGTGAACAAGTGAGAACTGCAAGAGCAGAATTGTAGTCTTCCATTTCAAATGTTAAGGAATGCAAACAGTTGGCAGAGCTGAGAAAAGTAAACAGAACTTCTGCTTGGAAGACAGAGGTTTTTAACCAGCAGGAAAACTCTAGCATAGATGAAGACAGCTGGAAACAGTAGACAAGTTACGCACTCATGTCCTCATTGAAATGAGACTTGCTGGATCTAAAAAAAGAGACAAGCAGCTAAGTTAAATCAGAATGGATATGTACCAGTCTTACTGCCCACGTTGAGAGCAGGGTATAACTAGCTGACATCAGGGACCTGTTAGTACTGCCTGGCTCTTAAGGCTACAAATGACCATCAGAAACTCACAGAATCTCAAGATCCAGCAAGAGTGAATTAATAGACTGCTTTAGGGTCTATTTAGATTTAGGGATTTAAAACTAATGGAATGCAGGGGAAATGCTTTGCTTTGCCTTCTTTTATCCAGCGGTGTTAAAAATATGCAGCACTGGTCAGAAATCCCCACAAATGTGCCCACACCACATTGATGGCTCTTTCAGCAGCACTTTGTGAGGATCATCTGCAGGAACAGCGTCACATCTGTGGGAGCAGCAGAGATGTCGCTTCCTTTGTCAACGAGTTTTCTGAAATCAGAGAAATGCTGTGCTGCTGTTTCTCAGGGAACGCAGTAACTTCAGGCAGTGCCACAGAGCGACGGCCCTGGGGTGGTGAACGGCAGAGAGGGGAGTCCATCCATCCTTCCAGTGCAGAGGTGGGAAGTTTTAGGCTGTGGTCTGACGGAAAGTCTACGTGGAGTCAAATTTCAGAGCTGGAGCCCTGAACTGCAGTGAGTCACACAGAGAGCCTGAGAGCTGCCTTTGTTCCACTTGTGTCTGAACGTTGGAGGAGAAACAGCAGGCTCCAGTTTTCTGTAACTTGTTTTCAGAAGTATAAAATTCATGTTCACTGAACATTTTCCTTCCGCCCTTGAGGTCTTTCAACTGACTTTCAAAAAATGCTGTCATGGTAAGAATTCTCACTTCTATGTTATTTTTTTAACCCTCATGTTTCTGTATTACATTTTTTGTCTCATTTTTTTCCTACCCTCCTCCTTTTTTTTTTTTTTTCCTTTTTTTTTTTTTATTTTTTTCCTGCACACCTGCTTCAGTTGTGCCTGGTGGAGCTGGAATGTGCTGCTACTGTTCTTAGGCTTGTCGATCCATGCTTGTTCAGCAGCTCAGGTCATAGAAGGTAAGACTTCTCCAAATCACTTGTATAAATTGAGAGTAAGAGTTAATTTTAAGATAAGCTTTCTCAGTATAGGAAGAGACTCTAAACTGAAGTTCTTCATTTTCTCTGCTGCTTATGGTTCTTAATTTCATACAGGGAAGCTGTTGCAAGCTAAGGCACATACGAGACAAAGAGATGAGCTGAGAGAGCCAGCATGGCTTCACCAAGAGCATATTGTGCCTAACCAATCTGGTGGCCTTCTGTGATGGATTGATGGCATCAGTGGACAAGGGGTGGGTAACTGATGTCATCTTCCTGGACTTCTGCAAGGCTTTGACATGGTCCGTCACCACATCCTTCTCTCTAAATTGGAGATGTGTGGATTTGAAGGATGGACTGTTGGATGGATTAGGAACTGGCTGGCTGGATGCAGCCAAAGGGCTGTGATCAATGGTTCTGTGTCAGGGTGGAGGCCGGTCACCAGCGGTGTCCCTCAGGGGTCGGTCTTGGGACCGGTGCTCTTCAACATCTTCATCAGTGACAGACGATGGCATCGAGTGCAGCCTCAGCAAGTCTGCAGATGGCACCAAGCTGAGCGGTGCAATCGATGCATTGGAGGGAAGGGAAGCATCCAGAGGGACCTGGGCAGGATGGAGAAGTGGGCCCGTGAAAACCTAATGAGATTCAACAGGGCCAAGTGCAAGGTGCTGGGGCAACCCCAGGTATTGATACAGACTGGGGGCAGATCTCCTTGAGAGCAGCCCTGCGCAGAAGGACTTGGGGTCCTGGTGGACGAGAAGCTGGCCATGAGGCAGCAGTGTGCGCCTGCAGCCCGGAAGGCCAGCTGTGTTCTGGGCTGCATGAAAAAGGGGCGGCCAGCAGGGAGAGGGAGGTGATCGTCCCCCTCTGCTCGGCTCTTGTGAGGCCCCATCTGCAGCGCTGCGTCCAGGCCTGGGGCCCCCAGCACAGGAAGGACGTGGAGCTCTGGGAGCGGGGCCAGAGGAGGCACTGAGATGAGCAGAGGGCTGGAGCAGCTCTGCTGTGAGGAAAGGCTGAGGGAACTGGGCTTGTTGAGCTTGGAGAAGAGAAGGCTGTGGGAGACCTCATGGTGGCCTTCCAGTGCTTGGAGGGAGCGTAGAAACAGGAGGGGGAACGGCTGTTTACGAGCATGGATTGCAAAAGGACAAGGATAGTAGTTATGACAGTATATTTTCATATATATGTATATAAAGGTGAGGCACAAAGAATTGCTCATCACCCACCTATTGATGTCCAGCTGTCCCCCCAGGAAGCAGAAGAGAGCCAGCTGAATTCCCACTTTGTTCAAAACTCTCCTTCGATATGTGTTCATATGATATGGAATATACCTTTAGTCAGTTTAAGTCAGCTGTCCTAGTTCTGTTTCCTCTCAGCTCCTTAGGCCTTTCAGTGAGAGCAATCTTGGCTCTGTACATCAACTGTAGGCATGTGTGTTTTACCAACATTGTTTTCCTCCTAGAACCAAAACATAGCATCGTATCAGACACTCTGAAGAAAACAATGTTGTCCCAGCTAAATCTAAGACAATATCCACCCTTTATTCCATACCACTTGCATGTTCTCTGCTCCCACAGCATCTACACATCCTAACTAACTACCATCACCTATTTTGCTTTTTGAGATACATATACACACATATTATTCCCATAGTCTATGGGCCATCTGTGTACATGGTCCATGGTATTCATTCAGTTCCTAATCTTGAGCTCCATCTGTCATACTGGACCGTAATATCATTGATGACATACAATATTATGAAGTAATTTAACATCTTACAATTTAAATCATTGGCTGTTCTCACACAACATCAAATCACTTTGAGGTACACAATGGATATCCCTATCCTTCCACATTAACCACCATATGCATTAACCACCCAGCTCTCGTAAGTTTGAAAGTCCCAGCACTCATTACTCTAAGTATAGTTTTGAACAGTCCATTGCATTTTTCAATTTTTCTAGAGGCTGGTGCACGATAGCAGGTGTGACATACCCACTGAACGCCACACTCTTTGGCCCAGGTGGATGAGAATTTTTTTCAGATATTAGTACCTTTTTCTGACTCAGTTCTTTCTAGGATGCCATGTTACCACAAGACTTGCTTATCAAGACCCAGGACAGTATTTTGGGTGGTGGCATGGGGCACAGGATGTGTTTCTAGCCATCTGGTGGTTGATTCTACCATTACAAGCACATGGCATTTGCTATGGTAAGTTTATGAGATTGGGATGTAATCTACCTGCCAGGCCTCCCCTTATTCATATTTTAGTCATCATCCTCCAGGCTGAAGAGATTTTATCTGCTTATCTTGTTTAATTATGACATGTTTCACTTTTTTTTGCTCTCTCGTGTAACTAACTACACATGTGCCAGTGGACAAGGTGTTTTTCACTTGCATATAAATGCTATTTGAATGGCACAGAAATGTTTTTACGTGGCACAAGTAGCTCTACAGACAGAAATGCCCTGTTTTAAGTTGGGATTTTTAGGAGTTGGTGCAACAGAGAACAAACCTTGCACTGATGTCTTTCTGTTGACAGCCTGAAGCGTGTGTTTAGAAGATAATGTCCACTTGACATTCAGGGATTTTAACAGAACTGCTCTTCCAGTCTTCAGCTCTGATAGAACATAAAGCTCAGTGCTGCCAAACAGTCTTGTTTTAGCAGGGGGATAGGTTGTTTCAAAAGCTCTTCCAAACTGCAATCAGCATTGAGATGATTTATTTCTGTAATGCTATGTCAAATGTTTCAACAAAAGTCGTGAAAAACATTTTAAACTATCAGATATTTCCTATAGGTAATTAATGCCTTACTTCATAACAGTTTTATTAAATACAAAATACAGAACAAGTATTCCTGAAACTCAATACTTCTATTATTATTTTCTTCAGAAATACAGAAGAGGTTTCAAGGATATGTCTCTTCCCTATGGCCCGTACTGTCTTTTCAATTACTTCAGTCATAGTACAAACTTGCTTTGTCATCTCCCAGCAAGGTACAGATTAGTTTCAAAAGAAAACACCATGGTGACTTTTCCCATTACAGCTTTGTCCATGTTCAAGGTATTACTTTCCACTGATCAGCTGATCTGAATTTTGTAGAAATCGTCATCTTCATCCAATCAAAGGTAATACTCAAGTGTTGGACTTATCCCTAAGTAATGTTCATTTCAGAATTTGTACTAAAACTGTTACTGAGAGGTAGTGATACATCTTGAATGCTACACCAAAGATCTACTGAAAGTGGTGCATGAATGCCAACAAACCTCTTTTCTAAACCTCAAAAATGCTGTGGTGTTGTTAGTAAGGTAAATAATAGAGTTTATTTGGCCCAGATTCATACATAGCCAAATGAGTACAGTCTTTTCTGAAATCTCTTCCATGAATAAGAAACGTAAGCGATTTATTGTGAGGACAAAGCCTGGCAGGATGTGTCACAATCAGATGTGCAGGGCCATCGAAAAGCTGCAAGACTGGCAGCTGAGATGGCATCAGTGGTTTCAGAAAGTGACCAAAAAAATGCCAAGCATTTGCCATCATGTGTACACACTGTCAGTTGGAGGAGACCTGGAGAATACCAAGTTCAACAAAGGTATGAAGAAGTATCCATATGATTACCACTTGGAAGAATCTCCTTGGATGGAAGGAAGAAAATAAAAAAGCCACATCATTATCATATTGATTCAATATCTCTTTGAATATATGATTTCATTTCAGTTTCGTTTATTGTTTTCTCACCAAAAACATTTGCTCCTGTTGTGAACTGAGACTCTTCAACTTTGCTCCTAGAAGGATAGTAAAGGAAAACTGCAAAATAAAATGGAGACTACTGTAATTTAACTGCAGTGACTTCAATGAATCTTCTAGCACCTAACTTTATCCTTCCTTTAGCTCTCTTGATTACATTTATTTATATCCTCTAGAAGGAAACAAAGTAAATAAAATTCTCATATGTGTAAGATAGTGTATTTGTGAGATCACGTTTTGATCCTGCAGTACTTAACTAGTATATAGCTGTAGAATCTGGATTTAAAAAGAATAATAATCTTATCTTCAAATAATCTGTATCTATCTATATATATCTATATATATATATTAACATTAGGTCAATGGTCACCTTTACTATTAAGTGGCCATTGTAACACAGATCACCAAAAGGCATAAAGCTACAACTTTAGTTTCAGTCAACAGGAATAAAAATTTGTTTGCATCTGCTTCTTCAGCAGATCAGAAAAAAAAAAAAAAACCCTGCAAAGTAGGCAGCTAAAGCAATGATGACATCTAGTGGTGAAAATAGATGGGATCGTTTTCAAGTTGTGGCAAGTTAAAATTTTTAGGGTGATTTTCAGGACAGACAATTAAAAATTAGATGGCTAGGTTTGACTAAAACTTTACGAAGTCTCATAAGTAAGTACAAAAGTTTTATATCATCTTTAAGATAACAATTAATTAAAAATAGAACCTAGAGGATGATGTGCCTAGAGAATAAGGAACATTAAATCCTATTTGGTGTATATTTATTTATGAGTAGATATGATGCTGACAGTGTGAGACGAAGAATAAAAAATGAATATTATCATTCACTAACCTAATGGAAATATTAGTCCAACAGGATTCAGCACCTTAAATCTCTTGGAAGTATTCTTATTTTCCCGAGTGAAATACATAAATGCTAATCAACAGTTGCTTTTCTGAAAGGTATGGAATCTCAAGATAGATTTATGTTTAAAGAGATGGCTGGAGGTTGTCTGGTCCAATCCCTTGCTCAAATAGAGCCACCTAAAGCCACTTGCCAGCTATCTGCAAGGAGAGAGACTCCACAACCTCTCAGGTATACCTGTACCAGTGCTCAGTCACCCACACAATAAAAAAGTGCTTCATCATGTTCAGACAAAACCTCTAGTGTTTCAGTTTGTACCTGTTTCTTCTGATACTGCCTCTGGACATCACAGAAAAGAGCCCAGCTCCATCTTCTGTGCATCCTTCCTTCAGGCATTTAAAGGCACTGATAACACCCCTCTGAGTTTTGTCTTTTCCAAGATGATCAGTCACAGTTCTCAGACTTTCACCATAGGAGAGATGCTCCAGACTCTTTACCATAATTGCAGCCCTTCATTTGACTCTTTCCAGTATGTTTGTATTTCTAATACAGGGGAGCCCAGAACAGAACACATCACTCCAGGTACTTCTGAGTAGAGGGGAAGGATCGCTTCCCTCAACCAGCTGGCAGCAATTTGCCTAATGTAGCCCAGAATATCCTCGCAATCTTCTTTGTAGCAAGTGCAAATTGCTGGCTCATGTTCAACTTGGTGTCCACCAAGATTCCCAGATCCTTTTCTACCAGACTGCATCCCAGCTGGTTAGCCTTCAGCATATACTGCTGCATGGGTTGTTCTCCCCAGATACAGGACTTTTCACTGTATGTTGAACTGCGTGAGGTTATTGTCAGCCTGTCTCTCTAGCCTGCCTCTGAACGTCAGCAGGGCCCTCTGATCAATCAGCAAGCTTTATGTCATCTTCAGTCTTGCTTCAAACTTTGCCCCATCAGCTAAATCAGCAGTGAAGGTGTTAAACAGGACTGGACCCACTATTGACCTCTAGGGTACACTACCACTCAGTAGTCTCCAACTAGTCTTTGCATCATTGCCCTCTGCATCTGCTCATCCAGTCAGTTTTCAATCCACTTCAATGTCTGCCCAACCCAATTATGCAACAGCTTGTCTGTGATGATAAAAGTTAACTGTTTTCTTACTGCTTGCAGAGAAGGCTTTAAAGTCAAGAAGAACTTTGTTTCCATTTTCCTTGTTTGTGTAATACATATAATTTATATATGATTTTTTTTAATCGGATTTTTCCTTTTTGTTTTTCTAAATAATATTTCCTTTCTATATATGACTATAGAACAGAAAGAACTAAGGTGTCATCAATACTATAGAGAGACTATGAATAAAATAAGAGAGAATTTGTTTATAAATTCAGCATCTTAAGGAGGGCTATAAGAAAGGACAGACTGTTTAGCAGGGTTTTTGCGTTAGGATGAGGGGAAATAGTTTCAGACTAAAAGAGGCAAGATTTAGACTGGATATGAGTAAAAAGTTTTCAACAATAAGGGTAGAGAGGCACTGGAACAAGTTGTCCAGAGAGGTGATAGATACCCTTTCCCTGGGGACATTCAAGGTGCCGTCTCCAACATGCTTAAGGCAATAGAAAATCAGTCTGTCAAGTGAAGAAGTGGTGGTTTACTGAGGAGTCAGAAGAGCAGCAATATTGAGTATGTAGAGTGACAGAAATGTGAAAAATGTAGCAGGACAAAGAGAAGCAAGTGCTATATCAGGATAGATTTCTTTTCTAATCTTACTCGCAAAACTGATAACTATTTAAATCTCTGGCTTTCAGATAACAAGGGAAAGACCACATCTGAAATACAAGGAGAGAACAAAACCTTACATGGTAGGACGTTTGAAGCTCAGGTACTTTTCTCACTTTAGTCGGTTGATACATTTTGTCTCCAAAATAAGTTTTGATGAGAAAACTTACAATCAAGTAAAAGAGAACAGATCAACTTCTGGTCCTGCAGCTTACATAAGACATACGTTAAATTCTTTAACAAGGGTCGTGGCTTGGTGTGATAATATTGAACTCCTACTTTACAAATTTCCAGTGTGCCTTGCTTAACCTGAAGATTTCTAATGTTTAAATTGCATAAGATTTTATTTCAGTCTGGATGGGTCAGTCTACTTGCCTACAAAAATAAACTGCCTACCAAAACATCTTTTTAGACTTTGATTTTCTCAGAGCCTGTCTCCTAAGAGACAAGTTGTTTTAATTCCTGCTGTGTTCCGTTGAAAGTTGTACATGTCCTGAGATGATCTTCTCCTTCAGAAGTAAATTTCAAACTTCTGACCACATTCATAGTCACCCCAACCCCAGCAGTCTGAAAAATACAAGATAATTCAATATTTAACACAAACTGAGAGAAATGATTTCTTCAGCTCAAACATTTGAATTGGAAGAACTCACCTGGATTTTTTGGCTACAAACCTGCAAATGCTTCTAGTTGAAAACTAGTTTTCACAAGAGTCAGCAGTTTTTGTCTTGCACAACTTCCTTCTAAAAGTTGCAAGGACACAGCAATCTTGCTGATAGATAGCATTCATCCTTTAGTGACCAGAGATGTAAATGAATTTGGTAAGCCAAGTCTCTAACAGAGGATATAGTAGTTCAGTCACTATTCAGGTTCTATAAATTGAAGAAATAACGGCTGGCATCACAGGTACAAAAACAACTGGTTCTGCAGAACTCTTCAATTCACTACAATAGTTTAAATATTCTCTTAACTTCAGCATGTGTTAAAATATTTGCAAACAACAATCCACAAACAACAGTGGACATGCAATAGTAAGTTGTAAGAATTTTGTGTTTCTTATACACTTGAGATGCAGATAAATAGAATATGCATATTTTGATTATTCAGAACTTTTCCAAAACTTGAAAATATAGCAGCTTAATATCTTCTCCCTGGCATAATAACAATAAAAAAAAAGATTCATAATGCAATTCAGAGCCAAATATTACTGTTCAGGGAATGCTTCTGAGAAGGGATCATTGTGTACACATTCCCCTAATAGAACAAGAGGATTTACTTCACTGTGAGTGACTGTTTTTACATATAGCCTTTCTTCTTTTAATGAAGAAAATAACTTATTAAAAGGAAGATATATCTCAAATGCTTCTTCCTTCCATAGCAAATAATAAACTCATCCTGACGTCGCACCTGCCCTTGCTCTTTCAAATTTATCTAAGAGAAAGTAGCAATGTTTTTACAGATGGCTGCTTTATTTTCACTATGTCTAAAGAAGGAGAATGGAAGATTATGCCTACTCCAGAGCTGAAAGCTGAATAGGGAGATATGGTACAACGTTATGCGGATGTGTTGCTCTAGGTGCAGGGCTGCACTTGCTCTGTTGATTAAAACAAAGCAATGTGAATCTGTTAGAACTATTTTCAGTTCCAGACAGATAACTGAAAAAGTCAGTTACCTCTTCATTGTGCAAACATACAATTCCAGAGAGAAACAGCATATCTAGGCACTTCGCTGCTCATATGTGGTACATACAGAAGCATTTTAGGGTAGGCACGACTTCCACAATTCATTTTTTTCTTAAATATATTGTACAGCACTGTACTCTCTGGGATTTTGATTCATAACTGAATCTTACAAGCTCCAGCGCAGTACAGATAAAGGTGTTAAAGCTTTCCTGGTCATGTGCTATTCTGGTGAAAAAAAAAACTGTGGCATGAAAACCAGGTGAACAGCAAAGGTACAGTTGAAAAGAGTTTACACTGCATCCTTGAATATCATCAAGCAGATAATTTCACAGAATCACTGAACTGCAGGGATTTAAAGGGTCCTCAAGAAATCACCAAATCCATTCCCCCTGATAAAGAAGGTACCTTACAGTAGTTTGCAGAGGTCAGTGTCCAGACAGGTCTTGAATATCTCTATAGATGGAGACTCCACAATCTCTATGGGCAACCTATTCCAGTGCTCCGTCATCCTTCCTGTAAAGAAGTTTTTCCACACGCTCGTATAGAACTTCCTATGTTCAGTCTTTATGCCACTGCTCCTTGTCCTATCACTACACATCACTGAGAAGAGCCTTGCCTCATCCATTTACCTCCCACCTCCCTTTTTTCCATGACGTAATTGAAACTTCACCATCTCCTCAACAGCCCTTAGATCACTAAGCTCTTGCTTCTGAACCCTTACTCACTCTTCGATTATATCAGTCATTAGATGTGCATATTTGCTCATTTTTTGACTGGGCTTCAGCAAATAAGAGGCCAAATCCATAATACTTCGTACTGCCCAGATTCTGTTGCTTGTTCTGCAGAACTAGCAGAAATGAACTGCTGCTAATTTGTGTTCCCTAAGCAACTATAAAATCAACATGCAGTGATCACATAATTTTCATAAAGTGAGGAACTAGGCTGTAATTACTATAATTACTGGACTGTAGTTACTGTAATAACTGGAGTGATGAATTTCTAGTCCTTCCTATTTCTCTACTAATCAGTTTAATTTTATCATTAAATTATTTTTCAGTTAAAAGAAGAAATAAAGTAAGACTGCATACCAACTTAGGGAAATTTTCTAAACTGTAGCTGCACTGGTGTTTTCTTCAAACAGACATCAGCAGGACAACCAATGACTAAAGTTAGGAAACTTTTCTCCCTATAAGGTATCACTGCTTCTAGATCCAATACTCTGTAAATTTAGGCAGTTGTAGTAATGTATATTTCATTTTTCCATAGAAAAAAAATCCTAAGTATGGTTGTCCTTAAGATAATGCTAACATCATATCTACCTGATTCAATTTCTTTGATATGTGATAAAAGATAATTTCTGTAATAATGGGCTAACAGCAAAGTTGTAAGAGTTCAGATACTGAAATCAGCACAGACAGAAACAAATATTTCCCTGTAGAGTACTACCATGGAGAGAAGATGCCCAAATTAATGATTACTATGATTTCATAAAAGATTACTTCAAGCTCCACAGAAAGAATGAGAGTGGAAGGCAAAAGGAACAGCTTGCCCAGCACACGTTATAATCATGGGAAACTCTTACAATCTGCATTAAATGAATAACCATTTGCTAAGTTTCAAATGTTTGTCTTCTGCTCATAGAATCATAGAATGCTTTGTGTTGGAAGGATCCCTAAATATCACCTAGTTCCAACCCTCTCTGCTGCATAAATGGACTGCCCTAATCCTGATTCACCTTGACCTTGCACACTTACAGGCTTGAGCAGTCAACTGCTTCAGTGAACAACATATTACAGTGCCTCTCCATCCTCATAGTTAGTAGTTGTTTCCTAGTATGTAAGCTAAATCTATATTCCTTTATTTTAAACCCATTACCCTTCATGCTATCACTACAGTCCCTGACAGAGTCTCTCCACATCTTTCATGTAAGCCTCCATTACGTACTGGATAGTACCTACTCTTCCTACAATATGTCATCTGCACCACTCAGCTTGGTGACATCCATAGAATTGCTGAGGATGTACTCAATTCTACTGTCCATCTTGCTGACAAAGGTATTTATACCGGCAGTGTTAATAACAGTCTTAACACAAACCTCTAAAGGATACTACTCATCTTTACCTGGACATCAAAGCCATCAACATGATTTTATCTTCCCTTAATCATTAAAACTACAACCCTCTCATAGAAGCCACCAAATTTGTCAAGCATGATTTGCCTTTAGTGAAGCTATACTGGCTGTCATCAATCATGTCTTCAATTTCCATGTGTCTTAGAACAATTTCCAGAAGGATCTGCTCCATGGTCTTGCTGAGCACAGACATGAGATTGAATGGCCTCATAGACCCTGGGTCTATTTTTTTTCTTCTTTTTTAATTGTGGGGTTTATATTTCCCCTTTTCCAGTGGGAACTTCATCAGACTGCCACAGCTTTTCAAATATGTTGGATAGGACATTGTCTTAACAACTTCATCTGTCAGTTTTCTCAGGATACTTGGATGCACGTCATTAGGTCCCACGGATCTGTGCACCTTTTGGTTCCTCAGATGGTCTTGAACCTTATGCTTTTCTCTGGTGGGTGGTACGTTGTTCTGGTTCCTGTCTTTGAATTCTGTTAACTGGGTTGTATGAGTAGAGAACTTGCTGCTGAATATTGAATTTGTTGAAAACCTCATCCTTTTTCATGTTGGTGTACCGAGTGCACTCCTTAGAGTGCATACAGTTTCTTTTATTTTATTTTGTTTCCCTATGTACTTGAAGAAACACTTGCTTTTTTTACATCTCTAACTAAGTTAAGCTCCAGCTGCACCCTGACTTCCATAATACCTTCTCTGCACTCAACACCATATCCTTTCTTGTGTTTTAATGCAGCAGGCAGCAAAACACCACACAGCTGTTTACTCATTTCCCCAGAGCAGGATGGGAAATAGAGAAAAAAGGTAAAACTTGTGAATTGAGATAAAGACAATTTAATAGGACAGAAAAAGAGGGAAAAGTAATAAAAGAATATGCAAAAGAAGTGATGTACAATGCAGTTTCTCAACACTTACTGTCAAGCCAGTCCCTCTGCAGTGGCAAAGTCCCCCTGTTTTTTGTTCTGTATGACATTATATGACATGGTACATCCCTTTGGCCAGTTAGGGTCAGCTGTCCTGGTTCTGTCCATTCCCAACTTCTTACGTGCCCCTGGTTCCTTGATGGCAGGTCAATGTAAGAAGATGAAAAGTCCTCAACTTTGTGTAAGAACTTCTCAGCAACAACAAAAACATCAGTGCGTTATTAACATTCTTCTAATTCTAAATCCAAAACACAGCACCATATCAGCTACTGGAAAGACAATTAACCCTATCTCATCTAAACTAGGACAGTATTCACTTTTTATCTTACCAACATGTAACGAACATGTTCAACTTTTGCCCCAGAAGCCATATGTGACATCATCCACTCCCCAGCTGAGAGACGGCCCAGCTCCAGGCACCGACCTGTCTCTCAGCAACAACCAAATGAGTAGTGTGCTGTTTATGTTGTCTGAGCTGAAACCAGGAAGTGGGAGGGTGAAGTGCAATGCTAACTCAAGTTTTGGCATATAATTTTATGCATTTTGAAACACTGACTAAACACGGCCCTGTGAATAGCAAAGAATATTTGATCTCACTTTCCTCTTTGATAAAGGATAGGTTGTGATATTGATGAAAAATCATCAATTTTTGGCGTAATTGTGACTCCATTTTCATTTGGCATAAATACATTACCTACAAATTTTTCAATGAGATTTATATACATTTGCAATCAGATATTTAACTTTAAAATCTGATCATTTCTCTTCATTAGGCTTCTATAAGTTCTGTCTTACCAGAGAAAGATCTCTCTTGCTTCACAATAATTCCTTACTTGTGTCATTGCTCTTTGCCAGTAGGTACATCTGTGAAAAACAATTTAAAAAATGAAGTACAGGAAGAGTAATATTTCATCAAAAATCTGACAAAACCACGAGAACTCACTAAGAGCAGCAAGCATTTCCTTCAAACCAACCTGATGCACTAGATTCACAAAAGCAAGGTCAAATATCCCACTAGTTATATGTTTTTTGTTACTCGCTCATTTACGTTTTATTAAAAAATAATAAAAAATAAAATAAGCTTTTTTATTCATGTACGTTAACTATATTTTATGTTCTATGAGGGCTGGTCGAAAAGTAATGCCTCCTGTTTCATTATGTTGGTCCAATATGTCAGAGATCGATGTTGACGATGTTGTAGAGGTTGAACCTTACACCAGTATTGTTACATTTTGTTGTTGTACAACACATGGCAGCAGAGGAGCAGTCTGACAAAATGGCATCTGGCATGGAAGCGCCTCTGAAGTGAAGGTGTACAGAATACCTCCTCGCAGACAAAAAGTGGCAATGGCACCTGCTGACATTCATCACCTCTTGCCAAATGTTTCTGGAGACCAAGCAATGGATGTGAGCACAGTGGGGCAGTGAGTGGTGCATTTCAGCTGTGGTGACAGTGGCAGTGGTTCATCTCTTGTAGTTCCACAGATTTCCACAGGTGTGGTTTGCTGGCAAAAATACATGTGGTTTATCTCTATATTCTCTCTTTTTTTTTTTTTTTATTTTTATTTATTTTTTTTTGTGTGTGTGTGTGTGTGTGTGTGTGTGTGTGTGGCAATAGTCTATGGGGTGGTTATAGCAGAAAGCAGAGTAACTGGCAGTGCAGAGGCAAAGTCATTTGAGTTGCTGCATTGTGGAAAGATACTGCTGCCCTGACAGAAAATCTTACTGTGAAAGTATGTCATGTATATGCTCACACAGAATCATAGAATTCTAGGATTAGAATGGTTTTGCTTGGAAGGGACCTTTAAGATCATCTTGTTCCAACCCACCTACTATAGGCAGGGAGACATCCCACTAGACCAGGTTGCTCAAGACCCCATCTAGTCTGGCCTTTATTGCTTCCAAGGAGAGGGCATCCACAGGCATAACATTAAATGAAAATACTAAAAAATTGCAGGTGTTAGTGCAAGGGAACAGGGCTAGGAAAAAAAGGGTACATTATTTTTTAGGTTTCAAGAATCAATAATGCTTCAGAAGGAATGGAAACCCCTAGAGAAAAGTCCATCTGTTTGTGTGGTAAAGACTTTTGGGAAGCAGAATTCACTACTTCATAGCCTTGTCCACATATAAAAGTGTTGCAAAACGGCTATGTAATCAGTGCCACTAGTACAGCTCCTTGTAGTGCTGGTTAAAGCTAAAGAAAATAAAGACTATTTATCTTAAAGCCTGTTATTAGGACCATACTTGTAGTTACCACCACCTCTGCAGAACATTAGAGTAGTGTATTTCATGTAGCAAGATAAGTCAAAGGTTATAAGGAATAAGGCATATGTTCCTATTGCACTGGAGTGTCATTCTTTCTGGGAAAATCATTATGAATGATTCTTAAGAATCAAGAAGGCTACACTTGAGCCCAGAGATCCTTAGCATTTTCTGCACTGCAAAAAAGACCGTGTTTTTAAAATTAGTTCCAAATAAACACCCTCCTATCACATACTCTGAGGATTAATATATGCACAACACTTTATTCAACTTCTGAACTGGTCCTGTCTCACCCTTCTCCAGGCATACCACACTATACCTCCCTGCAGTCTGGGCTCTTGGATCTTGTAGAAACCTCTAGACACCAGATGTCCTGACTTTGTCCAAGACAGAGTTAATTTTCTTTGCAGACATTTTGTAATGCTGTGTGTCCTGCTTTCAGATGGAACATAGTTGATTTTCTCCATAGCATCTGATGCCATATATTGACTTTAGAAGAAAAGCAATGCTGATCAGACACCAGTGTTTTAGATGTTGCTGTACGGTGCTGTACAGAGCCAAGGACATTTCAGTTTTTAAGCTTCTTGTATTGTCCTGCCAGCAAGGGGGCTGAGAATGCACAAGGAGCTGGGAAGGGGGCACAGCCAGGACAGCTGAACTAAAACTAGCCAAAGGGATATTCCATTCAGTATGACATCATGTGAAAGAAAACTGTAAAACTGAGGAGAGTTGGCCTGAGAGGCTGTCAGTGCTCAGAGACCAGCTGGGCATCAGTTGGCAGGTGGTGAGCAATTGCTTTGTGCATCACTTGTTTTATGCATATATAGTGATATATAGAGATACATATATATAATGATTATTATAATCATCACTATTATTTCTCTTTTCCTTTTTTGTCCTAATAAATAGTTTTTATCTCAAGCTTTCTACTTTTTTTTTTTTTTTTTTTTTTTTTTTTTCCCTGTGTCTCTCCCCCATCATACTGAGTGGGAGGAGAGTGAGTGAAAGGCTGTACGCTGTTTAGCTTCTTGCCTGGTTAAACCACAACACCAAGTTTTGAATTCGTAATGTAAACAGTGTTGATAACACATGACTGATTTTATTGTTGCTGAGCAATGCTTATGTGGAGGCAAAGATTTTTCCATGTCTAATGCTACTTTGCCTGTGAGGAGGCACAAGAAAATAGGAGAGGACACAGCCAGAATAACTGATCTAGACTGAGCAAAGAGACATTCCATACCATGCCACGTCATGCTCAGTAATAAAGCTGGTGAAAAGAGGGTGGGATACAAGGGAGACATTTGGAGTGATGCTGTTCATCTTGCCAAGTAACCACTAGAGCTCTGCTTTCCTGGAAATGGCTGAGTATCTACATCTTGAAGAGAAGTAGTGAATGAATTTCTTGTTTTGCTTTGATTGTATGCACAACTTTTGCTCCACCTAGAAAAACTGTCTTTATTTCAACCTGTAAATTCTCACACTCACCTTTCCAATTCTCTCTCACATCCTACTTTGGGAAACTATGCAAACAGCTTTGTGGTTCTTAGCCATTTGAGGAGGTTAAATCACAACATCAGGGATGACAGGATCTTGAAATGTTTTCTTGTGGATACCTCTCCTGACCTTCTGCCAGGAAGGTAGGTTTTGTTTCAGTGAGCAGAGAAAGTAGTCTTGAAACCTAGAAGTGTATGTATGGAAAGAAGTGAATCCTGCCATCGTGCCAGAATCTACCCTGATCTGACCTGTATTTGTCAGCTGACTCCTCAGAGACTGGACTAGATGACATAACCACTTCTATGATTCTCTTATGCCACACAAGTTAAATTTTCACTCAGCTACAGCCTCAAGGCTCACAGCCCAATTGACACAGAGTCAAACTAAATTTCTTTGAATTACTTTTTGGATATAACACAGATATTTTCAGTACTGAAGATGAACATGTCAAAATCTCAGAGCAACAAGTAGTGAAATGTTAAATGGGCAAAAATGAAGAGGATTAGATTTTGTAAATAACAGAAAGCAGTAGCTCTAAGAAAAACAACTTTGGATGCTTATTTGTTCCATATTATTCTTGAAAAAGGAACTTCAGGTCAACCAACTCACCTGCAGTAGGTAGAATTGAAGGTTTTGTGCAGCACATCTCCTAGTTAACCTATCAGAAGAACCTGTTTTTTTTTTAAGGCAGAAGTGATATCACTCAGATCCACAAAAACATTAAATAAATTTCACTGTAAGCTTTGTCTTCCAGTCTTCCCTTTCCGTAATTGAAGAGCGCGTTGTCATATTGTTAAGAAACTTTGAATCTTACTTGAGGTTAAGATTTTGGAGTAAACTAGAATACAATTATGACTCCAAGGTAGGAGAAGGCCATGGCAGACTAAGTTTCACTTTATATTTGGTCCAATTTGTAGCAGCTCTGAAATAAAAAACTTTCTCTCATGTATCAGAATGTTTAGGTCAAAAACAAAGTTTCCAGTCTCGTCAGCTAAGAGCATAATACAAATAGTGGTAGATTATCTTCTGACACAGGCAACAATAACATATGTGTCATCATATGTCATCATATACGTGTCAACATATGTTACATACAGCTGTAACAGAAATTATCTAGTGTGTCTATGTGTCTCTCTGTGACAGTTGTATCATGCTTGTCATTCAGCAAAAGTCTGTGATCTGTTGCAGAGCAACGTACCTCTTGGTCCATTAAGCTAAGAAGACAGTAATCTGATCCTATGAGAATCCTTACCAATGAGTTCAGGTGCTGTTTTACAAGCTTATTATTTCAAATAGAGTTGTCTGTCCATGACTTCTGTATGCCTTATGTGGCAAGGGTGACAAGGGATGATGCTTTCTTCTAATGTTCCAACCACTGATATTGAATTATCAGCTAACCAGTGACTGCATGGACACGTGACAAGAACTGTTCATATTCTGCTACTGCAGCATCCTGGCTGCTAGCTGCAGGATGGTCTAGTCGTCTCTGCTATATTTTTCAATCTCTTCAGACCCATGTTTAGAAAACAGTCTTTATGTAATTCTATTAAGTATTTAATTCCACTAGATTATAATTTATATATTGGGATTGCAGAAAGCAATGTCAGGTGTAGAAACATCTTAATGGCATGATGACATCAGAAATGGCAGTTTTCACTTGGATCACAAAGTCTTCTGGGAAAATTAATTCATCCAATATGTGATCGTTTAGATTAGGATTCCTTGGTGTCTGTATAGGAAATAAAGCTATCTGGCTACCAGATCTTCAAAAGGGCATTGCGCAATAAAATAGAACCCCAAAAGTGGCTTGAATATTGGGATCAGAAGAATATTATGAGGTGCTATCTACTCTTACATATGTAACGTGTAAGTACTAGTGTTATTATAATAACATTAGTATGTACATACATATATATATACATATATAAACAAAACACTGGCCCTTTTCTTTTAAGGATGGAAATACTCACTTTATAAAGTCAGTGGAAGTCCTGTCATTCACTTTGGTTGAGTTAGGACTCAAAAGTATAACAGTAGTCAAGATATCTTCTAAAATTGCTGCTTTTAATGATTTGAGTTTTATAAATGACAT